ACACACACACACACACACACACACACATTTGTGTATATATACACAAACACACACACACATTTGTGTATATATACACAAACACACACACACATAATAAACCAATTCTGCTACCACTAAGAATGGGGAGAGTATGAGTGTGTACAGCTGAGAAAAATTATTAAGGTGAGTTTCGGTTAAGTTATACATATAGTAGAGCACATGGTATGGCAACCATTCTGGTTAAAACATCAGTTTTATAAGATAGGTAAAGGAAATGATAATCACCAGAAATGAAGCTTCCACAAGTTTCTACAACTCAGTTTATCCAAACTTATTCTGATGGTGAACATAAAATAAATAAATAATTTAAATAATTTTCATATAAAACAAACTATATACTCCTGCTCACAGTGGATATTATTTATTCAGCACTTTAAAAATAAAGGAAGGAAAGATGAGAAAAACTACAAAACACAAATGCTGTTCTAAGAATTTATAAAACAAATAATAAACTACAGTCCATTTTAAATTTCATGCATACTCACTTTGGTGCCAGGTGTTTTAAAAAATAGCCCATTGCCTTGAGAGCTTGTACTCTGATTCCTTCGCTTTTGGATGCCAGAAGTTTATAAAGGACCCTAAATGAGTGAAAATTTAAAGCACAGTATCTTAAGTATATATTTCAAAAGTAAGGATTTAAGTTATACATATAGATACTTTTTAATATTATAAACTAAGTTTCAAGTAAGATAAAACTCACTAATCTCACACTAGCTATAATTCTTTGAATGAAGACCAATAAATGAAAACAATCAGAAACTAATTTTCTAAAAATTTCAATAACGTGCGCATTGAGCTAACTTAGGTATATTCTTATTTATATGTGTATGTAGTGCTTCAATTGAATAATTTATCACTCCAGAGCATAGGACAGGAAATTTAGGAAAAATGGTAACTTTCTATGTTGTTATTGTTGTTAGGTGCCATCGAGTCATCTCTGACTCACAGTGACCCTATGTACAACAGAACAAAACACCGCCCCCGGTCCTGTGCCAACCTCATGATCCTTGCTATACTTGGGCCCATCATTGCAGGTACTGTGTCAATCCATCTTGTTGAGGGCCTTCCCCTTCTTCACTGACTCTCCACTTTACCAAGTATATGGTATCCTTCTCCAGGGAATGGTTACTTCTGACAACATGACCAAAGTAGGTGAGACAAAATCTGACCATTCTCGCTTCCAAGAACATTCCAGCCGCACTTCTTCCAGGACAGAGTTGTTAGCTCTTTTGAAAGTCCATGGTACCTTCAGTATTCTTCACCAACACCACAACTCAAAAGCATCAACTCTTCCTCAGTCTTCTTTATTCACTGTCCAGCTCTCACATGCTGGAGGCAACCAGGATGCAAGCTGGTGACAATTTGGAACAACTACCATTCTTTCAGGTGTTTGAGGGGAAGAAACAGAACTTTGGAGAAATGATTTTAAAATGCTATAGGAGCTCTGGTAGCACAGTGCCTAAGGCACTTGACTGCTAACCAGAAGGCTGGCAGTTCAAACCCACCAGCCACTCCTCAGAAGGAAGGTTGGGCAATCTACTTCTGTAGTGATACTGCCTCAGAAACCCAAGGGGTGGGTCGCTATGAGTTGGGTCCGACTTGATGGCAAATAACAACAACAACAAAAAGAGAGGGAGCAAGCCAGTGAAAATCTGGAACAGCTAAGGGAGACCAGGAAGAGAGCGGTGGCAGTTTGGTTAAAGGAGACCAGGAAGCAAGCCAGCAGGGTTTGAAACACCTTAGGGAGACCAGGAAGTGAGTGGAGCAGTTTGGACCAACTAAGGGAGATGAACTTGTCTGTCAGTTTGTCATATTGTAGTGCTTGCATGTTGCTGTAAGTCTGGAAGCTATGCTACTGGTGTTTCAAATGCCAGCAGGATTGCCCATGGTGGACAGGTTTCAGAAGAGCTCCCAGACTAAGACAAACTTGGAAGAAGGAAGAGGCCATCCACTTCTCAAAGAATTGGCCAGTGAAAACCTCATGAACAGCAGTGAAACGCTGTCTGATACATTACTGGAAACTTTCCATATACAACATTTTAAAATGTGTAGCATGAAGCTGACCTTGAAAGAACTTTTTTTTTTTTTTTTTTTTGCTTTGCTACAAGCTTACTAACACTCTTTGTACATTATCAACAACATAAAAAGAAAGTCAATTTAAATAACTCTTTGTTTAATGACAGCACAAGCTGGTAATGAATGATAATCAGAAATAATTACCAAAGTAAAACAAAAATTAAAGACAAATGACCACTAAAAATGTTATTGCTATTATTTGTTGTTATGTGCTGACGAGTCATCTCTCCTATTCATAGCGGCCTTACGTACAACAGACCGAAACACTGCCCAGTCCTGTGCCAGCCTCACAATCCCTACTATACCTAACCCCATCGCTGTAGCCACTTTGTCAATCCATCTTGTTGAAGGCCTTCTCCTCTTTCATTGACCCTCTACTTTACCAAGCATGACATCCTTCTCTAGAAAATGGTCCCTTATAACAACATGACCTCAGTAGATGAGACGACTTCTTCCAGGACAGGATTGTTAACTCTTTTAGCAGTCTATGGTACTTTCAGCATTCTTCGCCAGCACCACAACACAAAAGCATCCACTCTTCTTTGGTCTTCCTTATGCATTGTCCAGCTCTCACATGCATTGGAAGCAATTGAAAATAGCATGGCTTGGGTTAGGCACACCTTAGTCTTCAAGGAGACAGCTTTGCTCTTCAGTCCTCGAAAGAAGTCTTTTGCAACAGATTTGCACAATGTAATATGTCTTTTGATGTCTTGACTGCTGCTTCCACTGGCATTGATTGTAGAACCAAATAATATGAAGTCTTTGAAAACTTCAATCTTTTCTCCATCAATCATGATGCTGCTTATCGGTCCAGTTGTGAGGATTTTTTTGTTTTCTTTGTATTGAGGTGTAATCTATACTGCAGGCTGTAAGTCTTTAACCTTTAACAGTATTTCAAGTCATCCTCATTTTCAGCAAGCAAAGTTGTATCATCTGCATATCACAGGTTGTTAATGAGCCTCCTTACTGATGCCACGTTCTCCTTCATATAGTCCACCTTCTTGGGTTATATGTTCAGCATACAGATTGATCAAGTATGATGAAAAGATACAACCCTGACACACTCCATTCTTGATTTTAAACCATGCAGTATCCCCTTGTTCTGTTCAAACAACAGCCTCCTGGTCTATGTACAGGTTCCTCACAAGTACAATTAAATGTTCTGGAATTCCCATTCTTCTCAATGTTATCCATAATTTGTTATGATCCACACAATTGAATGGCTTTACACAGTCAATAAAACACAAGTAAACATCTTTCTGGTATTCTTTGCTTTCAGCCAAGATCCAACTGATATCAACTATGATATCCCTCCTCCATGTCCCCTTCAGAATCCAGCTTGTATTTCTGGAAGTTCTCTGCCAATATACTGCTGCAACTGTTTTTGAATTGTCTTCAGTAAGATATTACTTGCATGTGATATTAATGATATTGTTTGATAATTTCCAAATTCTGTGGAATCATTTTTCTTTGGAATGGGTACAAATATGTATCCATTCCAAAGAATAAAGTAATAAAGTAACACATTTAATTTGCAAACACCAGATTGCAATATAATTAAATTTAAAAATAAAATCTCTATAGCTATACACCCTGATTTGAGATTAATAACATATACTAAAAGTTAAATCAAGTGAAGCATTTCCTTCCTCATAAATTCGATTAACAACAAAAACCAGAAATTTTTGTGATAACATCTATAAAAAAATTTATATTTTTTAACTAGCCATCTGTAAAAGTCAATAATTAGGGCAATACTACTATCTTGTTAGTAAGTTCTTTTTCCTCAATGTTTAATCATGGTGCATTTATCAAGCAAAATAAAAATAATAGTTTGTAAAATAAACATTAATATAGGTTTCAGTTGCTGTTGAGTCAGTTCTGACTAATGACAACCTTATGTATTAACAGAGTAAAACGTTGCCCAGTCCTATGCCATCTTGATGATTGGTTCTATGTTTGAGACCATTGTTATGCCTAGGTAGTACCTTTCAACCTAGAAACCTTATCTTCCAGCACTATATTCTGTTTTAATCCATACGGTTTTTGTTGGCTAATTTTCAGAAGCAGATCACCAGGCCTTTCTTCCTAGTCTGTCTTAGTCTGGGAGCTCCAATGAAATCTATCCACCATGGGTGACTTTGCTGGTATCTGAAATATCAGTGGCATAGCTTCCAGCATCACATGAAACATGAAAGTTATCACAGTATGCTAAACTGACAGATGAGTGGTAGATAAGTTACAAACAATACACTAAGGAATATTTTAAGATATTAAAAAAAACTATGCCTGCTATAGCTTAAGTTAACAAAAATTTAATCAAAAGATACACTACAAATGCATTGTCTAATTATTTTTAAATAATGTCTTATTAGGACTAACAATGTGAGATCAAAATGCCTTGACTTGCATCTATAAACATAATATGTATCCCACCGTAATTTTTAAGTGTTGAATAGTTCTAACTAAAGCAGAATCAAATTAGTTTATTTTACCTGCTAATCATAAGCAGTGAACTTTTTAAAAGATATTTGAACCAATTTGCTTTTTGAGCAAGTTTATTCCTTATTTAACAAAAAATGCTTACATTACAGAGGAAAAAATTATGTAGCACTTTAATGGCATGTTTATTTTTATAATTTAAGAGATTTATAAATATATGCAAATTTCTCTATTACAGTAAGAGAACAGTATAGAGATGATAATAAAAGTAATCCATGAGTAACATTTAAAATTTGGGACTGTTCCCACATAATCTGTTTTACTCTGATCATACATATAAAGAAATATGTATAGACATTCTATATAGATCTTTTTTTGTTGTTGTTAAACTGGAACACCCTATAGTATATGCTTTATGGAATTTCCAATGAAGAAAATATACAAGCAGTTCCCAGGTTACAAATGTCCTACTTATGGAAAACTCCCCCAAACCAAACCAAACCAAACTCACTGTCATCGAATCCATTCCAATTCATAGTGACCTCTACTGGGTTCCCAAGTCTGTAAATCTTTACGGAAGCAGACTGCCCCATCTTTCTTCCACAGAGCAGCTGGTGAGTTGGAACCACCGACATTTTGGTTCACAGCCAAATGCTTTAACCACTGTACCACCGGAACTCCCACTTGCCCTATAAACCAATTCTGCATGGCCAATGAAGCAAAAGGAACAGAGTTGAACTTTTACAATTTGGCTGATTTGGCATGGGAGTAGGAAAAATTGCAGGTTGAAGCCTTCAAGTGGGAGACTCAGAAGAGGCAAAGTGAGTCCTTTCAGAAGCCTGATACGTGACACTTTATTATTGGCAGGACTATATACGAGAGTGACACACATTCAAAGTGGCACAGTCAGCCACAGTCTTTGGACAGGACAGTGCTACTTCAGACTGTGCTCAAAATCTGAGGGAAGAGATTTGGTTCTTAAACAACGCATACATTCCCTTTCTTCTACACAAGAGGAATTAAGTTTCTAGCAAGGCTTTGGTCCACAATTCTTCCTGTC